CAGCACCAGCACCAGCACCAGCACCAGCACCAGCACCAGCACCAGCACCCCAGGCCCAGGCGCTCTTAGAGCCGTGGAAGCCGCGGCTGGGGTGTCTGCAGGGCCGGCAGGGCCACACTGTGCCGGGCAGCCCGTCTCCTGGAGAAAGTGAGAAGCCACCGGAGTCCAGTGTGGACCAGCGCTGACCAGACCCCGGTCCTGAGCGGGGCGCCTGGTGGTCAGAGCAGAAGACGGTGGAAAGACTGTGACTGTGGACAGGAGCCACGGCGGCCGAGCCGGACTGGGCAGGAGAGTGCGGCTGAGCTTAGCTCCGAGCCTGTGTTTGTCTTGCTTGACCTTTTCAGCTGACGGCCAGGGCTTAAGCTCCAACGCGCCGCAGAGATGAATCTCTAGGTTTAAACCTGTGCAACCGTATTGGGTAAATAAGGCCCTAAACTTTAATTTTCTTCAGCAAAACAGCAGGGCGGCTGACAACGTAAAACGGAATAATGTGAGTGGTCTACCTACCCCTCTCCCATCTCCAAGTCCATGCTGGTGACCTTTAACCCCAGGTTTATTAATGTCTAACTGGCAAACAGAAAACTGCTTGTGTGTAACCCGTGCAATCCGATGGGTACGGACATATGTGTGTGCCGGTGACGCCAGGACCCCCACCAGATAGCAGACACACCCACCACCTCCCAGTGTCCTTGTGTCCATTGTGTGTCTGTGTGCCTGTGTGTGTGCGTGCGTGTGTGTGCGCGCACGCATGTGTGTGCCTGGGTGCGTGTGTGTGCATGTGTGTGTGTGTGGTAGAAACACTTAACATGTGATCTAGTTTCCAAAAATGTTTACACGGCACAGTATTGAGTAAAGGGTGCAGGTTTTACAGAAAACTCCAGAGTTTATTCTCTTGCATCACGGACAACAGCTAGTCCTTCCCCATACCGCCCCTCCCCCCCGCCCCGGCAGCCACCATCCTGCTCCCGGCTTCCAGAGAAGGACAGCTGTGGAAACGTCCTGTGAACCGTCACGTAGGACTGGTCCCTCTGTCACTGGCTTATTTCCCTCAGCAGATGTCCCACAGCGTCCCCCGTGTCCCCAGGGCAGGGCGGCCTCCTCTAAGGCTGGGTACCCCCCCACTGCAGGGCTCAGCACTTCCTCTGTCCGCGCACTCGGATGGGTGGCCGGGTGTTCCACGTCCGGGCTGCTGTGGAAGAGGCTGCAGGACTGTGGGGTGCGGGCAGCTCGCCGGGTCCCCGATGCTTTTCCTCCGGATCAACTCCCAGGAGCGGGGCTGTGGCCACGGCTGGTGCTGCTGTGACTGCTTCCAGGGACCTCCGTGAGGGTTTCCGCAGCGACCCTCTGTCTTACGTTCCCACCGACACTGCCCCGGGTGCCAGGGTCTCTGGATGCTCCCTCCCATCCTGCTATTCGGGACGGGCCGTCCAACAGGGATGAGGCGGCCTCTGTGGGCTGGATGCTGCTTCTCCTGACATTTAGAGCAGACGTTGGGGGGGGGAGGGGGTTCTGCAGGAACCGGCTGAGCTCCTCCATGTGGCGGAGCTCTGGGGGAATGTGTGCGGGGCTCTCTCCTGGCCTCGCTGGATGGGGGATGGCTCTTGCTGCTTGGAGCCGGGACACTGTTCCATGCAGAATCAGGCAGTGGGACTGGAACCTACGAGGATGCTGCTGTGTCAGGGGCTGCCCAGGAACTGTCTAGAAAGGGCCTTATACGTCCTTTGTTAATTGATTTCTTTAAACAAATACTATCGGCAATATAAACCATCAGCCACTTGTGCTGTTAACGTGCTTTTTTAAAGAATTTGAAGAGCCTCAAAGAGCACAGGGTGGCCCTGGTCTAGCTCACGGCTCTCTCTTGCTTGGGGAGAAGAGGTGAGTCGCCCGCACGTAACTGCTCAGCTGCCGGGCCAGTCCTTCCGCACACAGACCTGGGCCGTCACTTAACTCACCTCAGAGGCAGAGTGGAAAGCATGCGGCCCAGAGCCATCGAGAAGGAGGGATGCTCACGGAGAGAGGACCCTGGGGGCCTGACCGCAAAGAGGCCTCGCTGAACGTCTCCGGGTGAAGCTGCCACGCTGTCACCAGGCAAACCTGCCGCAGAATCATGGCATTCCGGCCCGATGAGTCACTGCTCCCCTTCCTCTCGCCGCCTGCGTTTGGTGATAATTCTGGCTAATAAGTGTGGAGTGAAACGGGCTCTAGTGTCGCGGTTGCCTGCGGTGACTCAAAGGCTGGAACCCAGGCTCTGGAGACGCTGCAGTGACACACGGCCACAGATGAAAGGGACAGCGTGCTGCCGTGATCTGTAAGCTGTGCGCGAGCCTCTCCAAGTTCAAAGACGCAGAGAGGGAGCTGGACGGACCCAGAGGAGGAAACGTGTGATCAGTGAGAGAGGCTTGGTCAGTCCAGGTGGCGTTGCTTTCTTTCTTTTTTTTTTTAGCAGTTGCCCAATTTAATACATTTTTATTGATGTTGGAGAGGAAGGGAGGGGAGGGAGAGGGAGGGAGAGGTAGAAACATCCATGATGAGAGAGAATCACTGATCGGCTGCCTCCCGCATGCCCCCTACTGGGATCGAGCCTGCAACCCGGGCATGTGCCCTGACTGGGAATCCACTGGCAACCTTTCCGCGCACAGGACGATGCTCAGCACTGAGCCCCGCGGGCCAGGGTGAATATTTTAAATCACCAACGGCCCCGACAGCAGAGACTTGTTAAGTAAAAGGAGCAGCAAGAAGAGGGAAAGCACTTTGTCCTTTTCCTCTTTGAACTTGCCCGACAGAAACACGGAAATGCCCAAGTTTTACAGGAACGGACTGCAAGTGCGGTCAGAATGGGAGGTGTGAGCAGAGCGACAGCCTTTCCTGTTGCCTCTGCCTCCCTCCGCCTCTCTCTCGCTCTCTCTCTCACTCGCAGTTTGGTGAAGGGCAGGAGTTGAGCACTGGTCAGCTACGGGGCTTTTTCACCACTTGGAACACTTTGCAAGCAGCGTGTGAGCTTCGCTCGAGGACACAGGCAGCTGAGGAATCATGCCTGGGAACTACGCTGACATAGCCGAGTTGCGTTGTAGTCCCTGCTATAGGAGGCTATTTTTCAAGTTCACACACGGACAGACCCTCAACTACCCCTGAGCCAGAGGAATCACATGGCCACTCTTTGAACTCAGACATTATTCCAAAGCTTACGAGGTTGTAGGAACACAGGGCTCATTGAGATAGTTCCTGTTTGGGACGCTAAGAAAAGCCCAGCCTCCTCCAGTGGCCTGGGTCTCATTTACCCCAAATCATGACCCATGCAGCCCAGTGCATCCGATCCCACCTTGTCTCAGCACGTCCACTGAACGCGTTCACTGAAAGGTATTTGCGCATTTGCATACCCTTCCAAGGTGATTTGCATAGCTTTCTAATATTCTAATTTGAATATTAACGATGACAACATTAATAAGAACGTTAAATGGAATCTCTCAGCGATGCATTTGTGTTACAGCTTCGATGGGGACGTAGCCTCCTCTAAGTAACCTCTACGCTTATTCCCAATTTCCTCCCAAGAAATCTCCTGCTTCATCGCTTGGCGGTGATGGATCCCTGATGTTATCAAATCGGACAAAACGCATTATGACCACGAAAGTGCAGGCGTGTCACCAAGCGGGGCCTAATCTAGGAGCTGATTAAATAAATGCTTCCAGACCCTGTGCAACCTCGGAGCAAAGACAGTTAATTCTGTGGCTCCTACTGACTGACCCTCAGGTAATTAAAACCGGCAAGTACTGCGGCGCGATGAGTCCTGGAGACCTCGGGGACAGGCAGAGACCACAGAGACAGGCAGAGACCACAGGGAGAAGCACAGACCACATTACACAGGCGGAGACCATGGGGACAGGTGGAGGCCACAGGGACAGGTGGAGACCACGGGGACAGAGTTAATTCTGTGGCTCCTACTGACTGACCCTCAGGTAATTAAAACCAACCGGCAAGTACTGCGGCACGATGAGTCCTGGAGACCTCGGGGACAGGCAGAGACCACAGGGACAGGCGGAGACCACAGGGAGAAGCACAGACCACATTACACAGGCGGAGACCATGGGGACAGGAGGAGACCACAGAGACAGGCGGAGACCACGGGGACAGGCAGAGACCTCGGGGACAGGCACAGACCACAGGGATAGGTGGAGACCACAGTGAGAAGCACAGACCACATTACACAGGTGGAGACCATGGGGACAGGTGGAGGCCACAGGGACAGGCAGAAACCTCAGGGACAGGAGGAGACCTCGGGGACAGGTGGAGACCACAGGGAGAAGGCGGAGACCACAGGGAGAAGCACAGACCACATTACACAGGCGGAGACCATGGGGACAGGTGGAGGCCACAGGGACAGGTGGAGACCACGGGGACAGGTGGAGACCACAGAGACAGGTGGAGACCACGGGGACAGGTGGAGACCGGGGACAGGCAGAGATCATGGGGACAGGCGGAGACCGGGGACAGGCAGAGATCATGGGGACAGGCGGAGACCACGGGGACAGGCGGAGACCACGGGGACAGGCGGAGACCACGGGGACAGGCGGAGACCACGGGGACAGGCGGAGACCACGGGGACAGGCGGAGACCACGGGGACAGGCGGAGACCATGGGGACAGGTGGAGACCACGGGGAGAGGCACAGACCACAGAGACAGGTGGAGACCATGGGGACAGGCGGAGACCTCGGGGACAGGTACTGTCCTCTCTGCTTTGAAACTTAGTGCGATTATAAACTTTTAAAGAGAGAAACTCATAATTTTTAAGAATCATCCCCCAGATGTTGTGTTGTGTAGATTAAAAAGTTGTTCTGATAACAGTTTTCTATTTCCCAGCCAACCCTCTGAATCTGTTAATTTCTAAAGATTGCCAACGTTTTTCTTTGCGGAAGAGAGGTTCCAATTAGCACAGGAACAACATGTCCTCCCCTTTCTAAGGTGACTGTACAAGCTGTATCGTGCACCTCGCATCTCGGTGTATTTCATGGTAAAAATGTCTTGAAAACCGGCTTTTAATAGATTTTTAAAAGTTTTGGAGAGATTGTAGGTGATGTCAGAGGGACACGCTCCCGAGTGACACAGCCGGTGGCTCACAGGACTTGGATTATCAAACTGTTTCCTCCAACATCGGCTGCTGCTTCCGAGGAAAAGCAATTTAGAAACAGAAGCAGGTTGGGGGGCTTAAGAGCATTTTAAGTGCCATGGGGTTGGGCTGCGTATCTTGTGGGATGCGTATGCCAGCCGCCTCGCCTCAAAGAGTTATAACTCACCTTTTCAATGGGATCTCTCGGCCAGAGGGGGTGGCTCTGGACTGGGCAATGGCCCCGGAGGACAGCAATTCCATCTGTGCACGCACCAGCCCTCAGCAGGGGCGGCCCACGTTTCCGGAAGCCCGAACCCCGGTCTCGATATCTCTGTGGGGGACTGAACACTGTACTCAGGATGAGCCCCTCCAATCCAGACACGGGGCCCATCCCAGCCTGAGGAGGAGAAGCCCAGCTGAACCGCAGAGAGCGGCAGGGGAGGCCCCCCACCACCTCATGTTTCCTGAAAACACAGGCCACGCAATCCTGTTATTGAAACAGAAAGAAACCCTGGCTCTGGGAGTCTGTTATTAAAATGCACAATTAACCAATTACCACGTCATTAGGATCCCTGCAAGCTCAGAGGAAGCCACTGCACTGGTCTTTGAAAGACAACCTGCCATTTCTGGCCTGATGACCTCCCCTCACGTGCATGGAAATCCCCAGGAAACAGCCTCCCCTACTCACAGCCCAGGATCACCCCAAAGGGCTTGTAGCATCAGCCCACGCACTTCCTGTGACGGTCCTGTCTGTCCCGGAGAAAATGGGATACTGTCCTTTGCTGGCGGGCGCACAAACTGCTTGCATTTCTGGGAAGAGAAATCACTAGGGCGTGGAAACATGGGTTGACCAGTGTCCCTGCGTTTTCATTAATGTTTCATGAATGTTTTTATTGATTCAGAGAGGAGGGGGGAGGGAGACAGAATCATCGATCGGCTGCCTCCTGCACACCCCGCACTGGGGATCAAGCACGCAACTCGCGCCTGTGCCCTGACCGGGAATCAGACTGTGACCTCCTGGCTCACAGGTGGGAATGAGAGGCTGTGGGGAAAGGTGAAGCTGTCCTTGGGGGGACAGCCTGGCCAGGGGGTCACCCTCCCGGGGCAAAGGCAAGACCAGGGAGCTGGGGGTGAGGCTCTGGACTCTGGACTCAGAGCCCGGGTCACAGACTCTCCAGGCCTCACTCCAGCCTCCTGTCGGGTCAGTAACTAGATGCCGTGGTCGGTGGGTAGTTAGGTGACGTCCCCTCTGGTCATTAGATTCAGTATCTACCTGCTCCTGGACGAAGTCAGAGTAAGTCACTGCATTAATCTGCTGCCAGGCTAAGTTATTTCTGGCAGTTAGAACTAGGTGGATAAAATATCTGGTGTTTAATAGTGAAAGCGTTTTGTTAGGTGCTTCCTCTCATAATTAAGCTTCAATTTCCCCATCTCTGAAAGGGTGTAATCACATGACCGATCCCATGGGACGGGCGGGTATAATGCTCCGGAGAGCGGCAGTTTTCACCGTGTTTTATACGTCACAGTCAGAGGAGGGGACGTAGGTGGGTCCCATGGAATCTACTGGTGACAGATTAGGGAGGCGGGACAAAGCCAAGCCGGGAAACCTCTGGGATTGGATAAGAAGTAGAATGATAGACACATGCTTCTTTCACTAGGTGGGTGCAGGACAGTTAACAGTCAGCACTTAACTCGATGACAGTGAGGGGTGTGTGGTCTCTGCAGGGGCCTGCGCTTTGAGGGCCTGGGAAGGGAAAAGGGACATTTCTTGGACGTTCCCACATTGTGTTATCATAGATGCAAAAGACAACAGGCAGCTGGGTGAGGGTAAAGGTGGGCCTTTGTCAGGGAAGATACCGGCCTGGGACCTGACCACCCACCACAACCGCTTTTAGTTTAAACAGTTTTAGTTCAGACCATCCTGTGGTTCCCGTAGACCTGAGTGTGCACGGCTGCCATGAGGCTTCCCCTGGCCGTCAGGTGAGCGGGGGCCCTTCCCGTCCGCACAGCGCTCCCGAGAACACGGTGCCTCCCCCTCGAGACGGTGTTCTGGGGACAACGTCCTCCGGGATGCTGGCGTCCTGGGGGCACCCGTGGCCAGTACAGCCCCGGCCCCTCCCTGGCAGTTACCATGCCGTCTCCAGGATCCCAGCGCCCCAATGCTCGCTGCCCCGTGGGGCTGCCCACCCCTCCGACCGGGAGACAGCTCTCCAGCCCGAGGAGGGACCCCCAGGAGAATGGCTACAGCTCGGCACAGAGGCGGGGAACGTGCCCTCCTCAGCCCTCCCAACCGGCACCTCTAACGTGATCGTCTTTCCCGACCCGTATCGCCACCAGGAACATAACCTGCCCATAACAAACCCAGATGCATACACATATATAACATCATTCCTTATCATCCGATGCTCTCGATGGTCGGATACTAAGGATTACGTGACCAAACTTATTTTCTTTGTTTCTTGTCTGCTATGAAATTCAAAGTTCAATGTGATGGTCAATTGCAATAAATATTTTACAGGAACCTCAACCTAATAAAGGCCACATAGGACAAACCCTCAGCTAATAAATATTATACCCAATGGTGAAACACCAAAACCATGTCCTCTAAGATCAGGAACAAGACAAGGATGACTGCTCTCACCACGCTTATCAACAGAGTGCTGGGGGTCCTAGCCACAGCTATCAGGCAAGAGAAAGAAGTAAAAGGCGCCCAAACTGGGAAGGAAGAAGTAAAATTGTCACTTTTTTTGCAGGTGACACGATGCTTTATATGGAAATCCCTAAGGATTCCACTAAAAAACAATTAGAAACAATAAACAAATACAGTAAATTTGCAGGACACAAAATCAACATACAAACATCCCCTGCCTTCTTATATATGAACAACTAAAATTGCAGGAGAAGAAATGGAAAAAAGCAATTGCTTTGCAATGGCAACACAAATAATAAAATACCTAGGAGTAAACTTAACAAATAATGGAAGGACCTATACACTGAAAACTACAAAGTGTTATTAAAAGAGACTGAAAGAGACACAAAGAAATGGGAAGACATTCCATGTTCATGGCTTGGAAGAATCACATAGTTAAAATGGTCATATTACCCAAAGCAATCTATAGATTTAAAGTAATCTCCATAAAAATCCCAATGGCATTCTTTAAAGACACAGAACAACAACAACAAAAATCATCAGATTTAAATAGAACCAAAGACCCTGAAGAGCCAAAGAAATCCTGAGAACAAAGAACAAAGCTGGAGGTGCCACGCTCCCTGATACAAATTATACCACAAAGCGACAATAATCAAAACAGCATGGCATGGGCAGAAAAACAGGCACACAGACCAATGGAACAGCCCTGAGGGCCCAGAAAGAAACCACATGGAAATGGGCAAATAATTTTTGACAAAGTAACAAAAACACACAATGGAGAAAGGGAAGCCTCTTCAGTAAACGGTGCTGGGAAAACAGGAAAGCCACTGGGGAACGAATGGAGCAAGACCACTTTGTCCCCGTGAAGAAGTGAGCTCACCGCCTGGATCCAGCCTCCCTCCGCCTCACAAGGCTCACCCCCCCTTACCCTCTCCTTCCTGCCCCACCCCTCTCCCTTGGGCAACAGCCCTTCTGTGGTCTGACTGTCAGTTTACTGACTTGGTGCTTTCTGCTTTACATCCCACATCTGAGTGACCTTTAACTTCTCTAGACTTTGTTTCCTCATCGTTACAAAAGGAAATGATACAAAACTTCACATTAGAAAATGTCACCTCTCTCTCTCTCTCTCTCTCTCTCTCTCTCTCTTTTTTTTTCTATTTTCGAGTCTTTGGTAGCCCTTCCACAACTCGTTTCCCTCGGTCACATCAGCTCCTTGGTGAGGGCCGCATCGGGTAAGTGGGGGTGTGGGTTCTCAGAGGCCCTTCGCTGGCTCAATGGAGGAGGCAGAGCATCTCTGGCGGCTGCAGCAAAGGGAAGAAGGCCTCCCCCCTGCCCGACCCCCCCGCCTCGCACTGTCCTCCTGGGGAGTCTTGCAATTAGAAGGGAAGAAGCTCCCCAAGAGCTGGATCTGACCGCGTTTTGAAGTGTCACCGTTACAGCAGGGAGGTGACAACCTCGTAATTGCTTCGTCACCGATGGCTGAGGGTCACACGGTGGCTTGTGAGACCATCCCGCCCTCGGCAGGTCTGCGCTCCCCTCCTGGACTAAGCATCTGGCAACCTCCTCTGCCCAGTGCCTTCCCCACGGAGCCCAGCGAGTGGCCCACGGCCATGCCACACGGATGGTGGGCGCTTGGTGTGAGGCGGCCAATTTTACTAGAAAAACATGCATTTAAAATATAATACGAAGACATTTTGAAAATGCACCATGAAGCCTATTAATGAAACATATGAACAAACGCAGGTGCACACACATACATAACATCATTCCGTGCGGGTGGGATGTCATTATAAAAATCCGCACTGGCGCCCAGTCAGTGTGGCTCAGGGGTCGACCCAGGCACCAAGCGGTAGCTGGTTTGATTCCTGGTCAGGGCACGTGCCTGGGTTATGGGCTTGACCCCCAACAGGGAGGGTGCAGGAGGCAGCTGATCAATGTTTCTCTCTCATTAATGTTTCTTTCTCTCTCCCTATCCTTTCCTCTGTTTCTAAAAATCAATAAAAACATATTTTAAAAACAAACTGTTTGTAGGGGGCACTGTTTTTTGTGTTTTGTTTTTTATTGATTTCATAGAGGAAAGGGGGGTGGGGGAGAGAGAGAAACATCAAGGATGAGAGAGAATCACTGATTGAGAATGATTTCCCATTTTATTTCCCACCAGCCCTGTATGAAGAGGCTCCAGCTCTGCATCACTGTCCACACCTGCTGTCTGACGACAGCCCTAACCGCGGTAGGAAGTGCTATCTCGTTGTGGCTTTAAATTATTTCCCCGAATGACTGATGATGTTGAGCATATTTGCACGCTTATTGACCATTTGCATATTTTCTTAGGGAAAATAACTATTCATAGCCTTTGCTCAATGTTTAATCGTGCGGTTCTTTTGTTGTCCTATTGTAAGAATTCCGTATTCTGGATATTAGACCTTCGTTGGGTATGTCGTTGGCAAGTCCTTTCTCCCCTCCTGTGGACTGTCTTCTCATGTTCTTGGTGATACTGTGTGTAAGCACATTTCATCTCAATGAAAGTAACTATCCAATGGCCACTCGGGGCCTGAAGGTGGACAGGACTGGGTCTCTTTTAATTTTTGAATCTTTAGAGTTAAATTATATTTAACTGTATTATTTGTATATTTCACTATTTCCTTTAATTTGGCTTCCCATCGTCCCTTATTAAAGGAGAAGACTATCTTGATAAGGGACAAATTGTCCTCTAACAAACATACTCACTTATAACAAATGTCCCAGGAATGTGCAATGTTAGTCATTCATATCAGCATAAATGAGCAACATGAGCATCTGTTGGGAATTATTCAGTGGTCGCTCTTCCTCCTTACAGAGTAACCAAAGTGAGTCTTTATTTCAAACTCCTGAAAGGATGTCACAGGTATGAGGTTGAACCC